GGGCGGGGGAGCAGATGCTTCCTGAAGCTCGTGAGAGGATCGGGGCGGGGCGTGGCGGGGCGTGGCAGGGCGGGGGCGGCGTTAGAGCCTGAGAAGCGAGCGAGAATACCGCGGAGGTAATGGCCAGGTGTCGTGATGCAGCATCTCGCGCTCAGAAAGGGGACGAGCGGCCCGGCCCTAATGCATGCGGCGTTCCGCCCGCGTTGTGCCCGTGCAGTTCTTGCGCCTACGTCCTCTCCTCGCCTCTCCTCTCCTCTCGAGGTTTGCTGCAGTGGCAAGCCAAAAAGGCGGGGAGGGGATAGAAGGAAGCTGCGTTATTTTAACAGCTGACGTGCTGTCCAATCTCGTGCTTTCATCACCCCTCAGGACCATCAGTTACCAACCTTTTTACTTTCAACTGATTCGTGCCTCTCCAGCCATATTCTGGGTCTGTCTTCTCAGTAGTTTCTGTCCAGTGAATAAAGTAATTGCAGATCGGCACCTCAAGCTTTGTTCACCTGTACTGTTATTAGTGAAGGAGGGGACTAAACTATAGAGGTAGCTGATTTGCATAATCTAGGGGATGATTAAGAAGAGCATAGGAAGAAGAAACCATTTGTATCCTACAGCACAGTCAACACACTGGTCCTAATTCACTTCTAATGTAAAAGGCTGAAGCTGATCCTCCTGACAACTTTGTTGTTCCTCTTAAGTCATTCAGGCGCTTCTGACTCTTTGAGACCCAATGAACATCATTTCACAAGGATTGTCCGTCAGCAACTGCTTCTCTCAGTTTTCGTAAATTTGTGCTTCTTGTCATCAGTGAAAGGATCTAGTCAGCTTGTTTTCTGACAGCCCTTTTGACTGTTTTTGATTTTTCTAAGTGTCAGATTTTTCTCCAGTGACTTTGTATTATCTGTCCAACTATTTAAGCTTTAGCATCACTATTAGTGCTTCCAGTGGTTTTACTTCATCTAGTTTTGCATGATTTGTTCTTTTGCAGTTCATGTATTCTCAATAACTTTACCCAGCACAACTCAAAAGCATTTTTTTGTTCTGATTTGGCCTTTTTGATGATCCAGATTTCACAGCAACCACAGCCTTGACAATGGCACTATGTGGTCCATGTGACATTTCTGCACTTTAATATTTTGTCTAGCTTTTTGTCTACTTTGTCTCCCAAGTTACAGATATCTATTTCATGGCAATAGTCACCATCCCTGTGAATTTTGAGAGCCTAGGAAGGTGAAGTTTGTTACTCCTGCAATTTCTCTATTTGCACTGGGTTGGTATGAGCGGCATCAGTAAGGAAGAGGACTCAAAACAGGCAAGATGGCAGCTCTTTTAGAGCCCCACCCTTTTTTTTTATGTTGACATTACATGTAAGTAAAAAGAGGTGAAGCTTCAACCACCATCTTGTATGGATCCCTCCTGCAGACACTGCTGGTTAGCATTGCCCTGCTGATATCTTCGTATTTTTTACTGAGCAGAACTTCAGCTTCTAAACTCTTCTTTAATATTCAGCAAGAAACTCCTTAAGTCTTCCTCACTATTACCCATCAAAGTGGTATCCTCAGCATTTCTGAGGTTTTTTATCTTTCTCCCAGCAATTTTAATTCTAATTTCTCACATTGTATTCTGCAAATAAGGTGACAGTATACACCTTCACACTGTCCTTTCCCAGTTTCGAACCTGTTTCTCTATATTCTGTTCTAACTATTGCTTCCTGCAAATTCTTCAACAGACAGCGAGGTAAGGGATAACCACAATTTTTGTGGTCTACAGATGAAAAACGGCTTTCTATAACAAAAACAAACGTCTTTTTTTGAACTGCCTTGCATTTTTCATTACCCCTTGGATGTTAGCAATGTGATATTGGATGCCTCTGTCTTTTCTGAATCCAACTTGAACATCTTGCAGTTCTCATCCAATGTACTGTTGAAGTTTGGACTGCAAAATAGTATGTGGGATAACTATAATTGTGTGATAGTTTGAGCATTCTTTAACACTGTCCTCTTTTAGTACTAGAATATGAATTAAACTTTTTTAATCCCTCAGCCATTGCTGCTTTCCATACTTACTTACAAAGCTCAATTAACTGCATTATCTATCAAGGTATTAAACCAGTGGTTCTTAAACTGTTTGACCCAATTACCCCTTTTTCCATCTCAAATAATGTCTTTACCCCCACCCAAAAGAACCCCCAAACCCTAACTCTTTTGTTTTACACAAGTGTCTTGGCAGCAGCAAGTCCCAAACTGGATCCTCAACTCACAAACAAGCAATTACATATTGCTCCATTACCCCTAGGACATGCCCAAATTACCTCCTTAGGGGTAATTAGCCCAGTTTAAGAACCACTTTAAAACAATTTGGCACGTATTTCATCTTTATTGTTAGCACTATTTTCTAGGGCCCATTTAACTTCACTTTCCAGAATGACTGGTTCTAGTTCCTTGATCAAACTTTGATATGTATCATTGATCTGGGGATCTTTTTTGTAGAGTTCTTCCATATTTTCATCTTTATATCTTCTTTCTTCATTAGTTCTTTGCCTTCTTTGTCTTTCATTGTGCTCATCTGTCCATACAAGTTTCCATTTATTTCTATAATTTTCTTAAATAAATATTTTGCCTTTCCCCTTCAATTTTTACTCCTAATTTCTTAGTATTTCTTATTTAGAGAAGAGATATCTCCTTATCTATTCTTGTTCTTTCCTAAGTTCAGGGTTCTGACATTCCACATGCCGATATTATACATATCTTTGCCACACTGAACATTTTTTTGCCTCTCAGCACATCAGCCAGTCACACCATCAGCAACAGTACTACATGTATTTGTCCACAGCTCTGTCCAAGTAGCTACCTTCTGACCTGGCTAACTCATCTTCCAGGATCCTATGGACATTTTTCTGGGTGTGAATGTTCATTTTTGTTTTTTCTGGGGTTTCTTTCTTTCTTTGACAGAAAACTGCAGTGGGTGCTATTTCCTGTTTCAGATGATCATATTTAGTGTGATCCATTTTCTATGACCTGCCTGCTATGGTGGCCTTTCAGGCAGAAGGCCCTTCAGCATTTCAGAGTAACAATCCATGAAGGGGCCAACTTTCTAAATAAAACTAAACAAATTGTTAGATAACATACTGGGAAGATTTGTTTGCTTGATCTGTTTTTAATACCTTGTTTTATTTGCATTCACATATTGTTTAGCTTTGTTTTTCATGTTTGTAGTTGTTTTAAAGCAAATACAATGGCAATACAATGGCTTCTATAGAATTCATTGTGCAGAACTAATCTCCATGGACAATCATATTTTTATTGATTTCACCTCCTTGCCTGATAAAGATGCAATAAATTCCAGTTAGCACATAAAATAAATGAGAAGAATTGCTGATGTTAGTATTTTCAAAAGAAAATTGGCCATTCTTTCCTTATTATTAACAGGCCTTGCACCACCCTGAGTTCTTTTTGCTTCAGATATTTGCTTTTTGCTTTGACATATTTACTCAGAAATAAATCCTACTGATTTCAGTTGGGGTCAGTTGATGTTAGTATTTTCAAAAGAAAATTGGCCATTCTTTCCTTATTATTAACAGGCCTTGCACCACCCTGAGTTCTTTTTGCTTCAGATATTTGCTTTTTGCTTTGACATATTTACTCAGAAATAAATCCTACTGATTTCAGTTGGGGTCAGTCCCAAGAAATTCCAGCCTACATTTATAAAAATGTGTTTCCTATTCCTCCTTAAGCCTTTTTGAACCTGCAATTTGGGGTGTCCATCATGTCCAGAACCATCCTTTTAACCCTTTCTCTGCTTTGTGAAGTTTTGCTTAACATCCAACTGACACTAGAAACCTGATGAAGTTAAACTGTCGAATATTACTTTTGCAATATTGGATTGCTTTGTTTACCACACCTGAATGTAACTTTAATATTTTTGATTTTGTTAAGATTTAACAAAAGTTGAAATAGAAGATGCAACATAGCTCACTTTGCCCACTCCAGTAGTCAAACCTTGACTTCCATCCTTGCTAAGGATGGGACCTTAGCAAGATAATTCCCAGGAAATGAAGGAACAATGGCCCAGTATTGCAACATTATTATCATTGTTATTTCTTTGTTTTCAGTCTTCATATACTGTATTTGTGATGGGTAAACAAATTTTCTTCCAGTAGTCCTGCAGCTGCTGGCCTTCATTGCTCTGCTAACAGTCCTGAGTCCTGTAGCCCACTTGTCACCAGATGTCCAGGAACTCCAACACGTAGCATGGTGCTTTTTGACTTGGGCAATGACTGATCTGGTATAGGCTTCTGTAAATTACATCTCACCATATTGTTTATGGGAGAGGCACTCTTTGTCTGGCTCCTCTGATGAGACCTGTCGAGTATGGTTGAACCTCTGGCATAACCCTCATCCTTCTTGGAGCACACAAGCCTCACAACCACATCAAGGTAGTGCCTCACTGAGGAGGAGGAGGAGGAGGAGGAGGAGGAGGAGGAGGAGGAGGAGGAGGAGGATTCTTTTAAATTTATTGGCAGCCTAGCTCAAATGGACTCCAACTTTCCAGCCCTCTCAGGAAAATTAGCAGACAAAATGTGCATTGTATCAATCAGGGCACCTCTGGATCAATTCTGGGTTGCTATTTGCCTAATTCTTACCCATCCTCATATATTCATGCCAGCTGCCAGGATGGCAACACCTATAGGCATCTGAGAAGTTCATAAGTAAGGCCCCGACATGGTCCATTGTTTGCTCAGGTAGCCGATAAGCAGAAGTACCACATCTTAGAGCATGAACAACTGCATAATCCTT